GAGGGGACCAATGATGAATCTGGTCACAAGGATGGCCCGATAAATTCGTTGTTTAAAGTCAATCACTAAGTCCACACCAAGTTAGCTTCAATAACCGTAAATAACAAAAACATCGCATATTGCAGGTTGGCTTTTAAAAAAATTGTCACTCTATAAAGTGGAAACTTGACCCATGACAAAAGTTTCCTTGGGTTTTCAAAGTTCTTAGCGGTGGCCTTCATCTGGAGATGACAAACACACAATCACAATATTAATTATTTTGCTTTTCCGATATCCACAAAAAGGCTAATTGTTTTCAAATTCTTTTTCAGTGAATAATATTTTTTGGCTACAAAAAAGGTCATTTTGAAATTCAATCACAAATTGACAGCAAAATTGGTAGTCAGATGGGCTCATTGTGTGACCTGTTCATGGGACAAGCTTACAATTACGAAAATACATCCAAACTTGGTTTCCAAATTTATAGGATTTATTAAAATTATTGATGTTCAAAGAGCTGAATATCGAAAATTCAACTATGGAAATTCGAGGTGACATGAAGGATTGGCCGATTTCCACAATTTATTAATTTGTTGATTTTAGTCGATTAATTCTTTTAAAAAATTTACACATTTTAACCAACTTTAAAACGTAATATTTGTTTATTCAATGTCACTGTCACTTTCCAAACCATAAGTTTTCACTTTAGAATCGCAAACAGGACTTACAATAAAAAATCACTTGCTTAAAATGTTAAATTGATTTGTATTTTTTATTTATTTGCACACACACTTTTCATTTATTTGTTTTCCTTTTCTATTCGACCGTTTAGTTTTCGAACAAAATACCGCGTCCATTGAATGCCGCGCCAACATTAACCGTAGCAATGAACTTTTGGTAACAAATTCCTACCAATTTATTCTGTTGAAGAGTTTGCCGGACAAGCTGCGCATTCGGCGCAGCCACCAACGTCGTCATCCTCCTCTAAAAAAACATCAATCAGGCCATCGGGCTCGGTGCAGTTTGAGAAGCAAAAGCTTTTCATGTTGCACGTGTGTGTTTGTGTGTGTTAGTTTTGTTCAAAACATTGTGCAGACTCTGCACAGATGGGGTGGAAGCTTTTTAGGGGCTCGCACGCCATTCATTTAGTACACTTTCCCACATTGCCATTTGTTGTAGGGACAATGTAACCTACACTACACCCTAAATTACAGCCACTCACACACACACATATCCTTTTGGAGTAGGAAGGTAATCGCAATCTTATCACACATGTCCCAGTGGGCTTTGTAATGAATGAATAATTGAAGCGACTAGAGTGAACAATCAGATCAGACATTGGCCTACAACTAATTCATGCAAAACCCCTTTGGATTAATTTTCCAAGAACAAGACATTAATTTATTAACAATTTAATACGAAATATACTGCGGTAATATCTATTCGAAAGGAAAAGTTAGACAGTTTAATAAAGGTTAGCCTTTAACTATTTCCTAGAAAAAAACTGACAGAAGCGTGATAATTACCTATATTATCGAAGAATTTTGAATTAAAACTTGTATTGAATTGAGCATAGGCTTGTTTGAATTGCAAACCGAGGAATCTGATCGTTATTAATATTTAACGATTGATCAGTATAAATTTCTAAAATGTCCGTCCGTCTGTGAAAATCAATCTTGCTCCGAACGAAAAGAAATAGGTTGGGTAAGTTCCGCAGGACTTTGGTATTGAAAATGAACCAAGCCTTTGTATAGCCCCCATAAACTGTTCGAACAGAATAGAAAAGTTGCCGTAAATTGAAAGTATGTGTTTCTGTCATGTAAGGGATTTTTTTGCATAGAACTCTCAATATGAGTACCTCCAGATATTCTGTATTTCAAGTAGTCGAACTCTATGCCACCCACAAATGTTTTCGAAAAATTGAGACATTTATTAACTGGCTTATTAACGATCTAGTTTACTACGTAACCAACTAACTATAAATACTCATATAAATGTCTTATAACCCCTTTCCAGCAAGAGTTTAATGCAAATACCGGCGGTGAAATAGCTGAAGTTCTAAAGATTTTTTCAGGCAATATAGCCTGTCAATAGAGCTGGAAGGTGACCAGTGCTGGAGTGGACCATATTTCTAACACGAATGTTATAAAATGAAAAAAAACGCATAGCATTCACAGTTATCTTAATACCAAAATTCATTATACCAGTTCTATTCCCATGAATTTATTACCATTTAGTTCTTTAGAATGAGCTGTTTCTATACTAATTTTCAATATTGTACGTTTTTCCATTCACTTAAAACCAATTTGTACTAAATTTTGTACCATTTAGTACATTTCTTACACTCAATACTCATTTCCAAAACCATACCCTTATTTCAACCCCATTTTCTAATTTTTTTTATCCAAATTTATTGCATTTTTGTACTTTGCTACACTTATTGTTCGAATTTCCATAAAAACTTTGGTTCATCAATTCTACACAACGTCAAAGAACCTCATATCAGCTCCACTCATTATCTTCCCTTAATATTAAATTTAATACCATTTAGTACTTTTCGTACTTTTTGCACTGATTCAATCCATTCAAAATCCACCTTCATATATCTAAGCTACCTCATCGCCAATTTTAGCCATATCGGGAAAGCCGTTCTTGAGTTAAAAATAGTGTAACTAACCCGAATCTCAATATAATTTGACAAAATTTACTTTTACACCAAATTCCGTCACACCTTCAATAGTTCATTGAAATTGGCGGTACATACCGTGTTCGGTGAGTCAAATATGTGAAATCGGCCGAGAATTTATATGGGAGCTATATCCAAATCTTAACCGATTTCTAATTCATTTGTCAAATCTATTATTGTAAACAAATTTCGCCTCAGATTCTGAATTTCATTGGAATCGGACATACATATCATATTTGGTGCATAACATACATGAAATCGGCCGAAGTTTAAATATGTGGGAGTTATGCTCAAACCTTTACCGATTTCAATATAATTTGGCAAATTTATTTTCTGATAAAATCCCGCCAATCATTCCAAATTTCATTAAAATAGAACATACACATCGTGGTTGGTGCATCAAATAAACGAAATCGATCGAAAATATATATGGGAGCTATATTCAAATCTGAACCGATTTCAATATAATTTGACAAATGTATGTTCGTTTCAAATTCCGTTACATATTCCAAATTTCATTGAATTCCGAAAATGTATATTTGAGCTACATCCAAATCTGAACCGATTTCAATATAATTGAGCAAAAAAAATTTTAGACAAATTCCACCACACATTTCAAATGTCATTGAAATGTGGCGTACAAAGCGTGTTTAATGCATCAGATACATGAAATCGGCCGAAAATATTTATGGGAGCTATATCCAAATCTGAACCGAAAAACTTATTTTTGTTTCAAATTCCGTTACGCCTTCCAAATGTGGAGACTGTATTTGTAATCGATCAATAGATATGTGGATATAAAATCTAAATTTTTGGGAGGCACCACCGATTCCGATGGAATATCTTCAGTTCCAAGTGGAATTTCAAAAATTTATATATCCTTTGTTACTTTCTGGCGATGTTGCAGTATACATGGAATTTTTCTGAAAAATCTGTTCAGCGGTTTTCGAGTCCATAATTACAAACAAACATATAAGCATTTATCTCTTTTATAAATATAGATGTCACATATTACTTTACACACTCTTAAAAAACATAGTTTTTAATTTTTTAAGGTTTCACTAATTAATGCATAAAACTGACTGTTTTTTTTTTCTTTTGCATTCTTTAATTCTATAATTGTTAGCTAAAATATTATGAGGAAAATTTTTCAATTTTTTTTTTTAAAAAAGCCAAAAAAAAAATACTAACTAGATAACATGACAAATCAGAATTTTAATAACAAAATCCTACAAATATCTACATGCAGGCGCACCAGGGACCTCTAACCCTGCAAGCAGAAAATATCCCGGAAATCACTTAGAAGTCACACCTAAGCAATAGAAATCATCGTGGTTGATATCGCTTTCTTACCGCGAAAGTTACATCCTTTCAGAAAAAATGAATCATGCCCGCGATAGCTTTAAGCGTGACTAAATAGCATATACAGCTATACTTCTAATAATCGGGTAAGTCAATTTCCTGACAGTTATTGAAAGTGAAAAAAAATATTTTTTTACTCCAGACTTAAGCAACTATTCTTTTTTATTGTTATTGGTACTTTTCCAATGTACGCTTGCTTGGAACTTATACTAATTAGCTGAAATACTCGCACATCATTTTCTTCGTTTTTAAAATGTGATGTCTGGCTTAGGAATCGAACCCAGTTGTTCGAAGAGCAAAGCTGGCTCTGCGCCACAGTATCTTATATTCCTCAACAAGAATAAAGTCTTTTTTTTTTGTTCACTTCGTAAGAAATGGTTAACTATCGATGCACACGCGACACCTTATTTTATCTTCCTTGGCGCCACTACGTACTAACTCCGTGACTTTGGGAGAGTCGCTGGAGGTCACTTTTATGATCGGAAAATACGCTCATATTCCAGCTTTTCAATCGCGAAGCAGAATTAAAAAAGCATAAGAATTTTAAATTTACCGATTTTTCGGTAAATCGAAAAATGAGTTTTAGAATTATACTACTGTGGGGTTAGACCCCACACATGCGTATTTGGAGGAGTTACAAACGGAATGTTAATATATATGGCGGAGGGTATGAAATGGGCGAAGTGATCTGCCAAATATTTTATGGTAATCGAATTATTTGTGGACTTAAGGTGTGTTCGAAAATTTGATAAATCGTTCAATTACTTCTCAAATTAGCTACCTCCAATGCACGTTTTCTTCTCACATGGTTTATGTTCATATTGGGTTCGGCATTGTTTGTATTTTTTTACAATGTTACACAAAAATTTAGATAATTTGGTTGATTTATGTAATGAGATTCAAAGTTGCTCAATGTATAGCTATGTACTTTTGTACCCATATTGATTTTTTTCCACTTGCTGCCACCACTTACCATTTCATTTGAAGTCATCCAACACGAACTTGTTTTAAAAAAAATCACAATCCTGTTGTTTCTTTTCTTATTTTCAAACTCAAAACACGTTGTATTCAATTCAATTCAGTTATTCATTTAATTTTGTTTTAAGCAATATTAAATTGACGATTGATGATGATTTCTAGGTAATGATCGATGCTGCCGCAGATCTACGAAACATACAAAGCTAAAGACACAATCGGAAAATTGAAATAACTTTTTGGTCTTTTTGTTGTTAATATTTATGAATTAATGGCGTTTCAAGCACGGGTAATGTACAAATGTGGATAAGACGGAACGACGATTCCACTTTAGATCGAAAACAAAACAAAAACTACAACAACAACAATATTTTTTAAGTGATAATTAAAATATTATCTCCAAAACCGGTTTCACATTTTTTTAAATTTACTTCGAATTCTCTCTCTCTCTCTCTCTCTCTTTATTTTGTTTTATTCCTTCATCTTGTTTTTTCGATTTACTGTTTTCTTTACACTTTTGTTGTTTTGCACAGCCGCAAATAGAGAGGCGACAGAGCTCGCGTTTGGAGGTTTGCCAACAAAACAAATGCGAATAATGGAGAAGTTAGCGAAAGACGTTACTGAAATTGAAGAGCAGAATAAAAACCACAAATAGCCACAACCAATGAAGCTTGGATGCGTGTGATCGATCGACGGGCGGGTAATGGTATGAGGATTGTGGGACTACCATGACGTTTTGGGGAAATCCCAGACTAGATATGTATGTAATTACTAATGTACGAATAGCTTAACCCCTTCTTTACCAGTTTTTTATGAATCACAAACACGACGGCACGAACATACCATGAGAGGCAAGGGAAACTCAAAATCTTCTATCGCCTAATAGGAAAAAAAATTGTCCGACCAGCCAAAATTGTAGCAGCAAAACATTTGAAGGCAAATGTGTCACTTTTAACATTACTAGTAATGAAAACTATATACCCTCTGCGTTTTAGGTAAATCAGATATAATGACACTTACATAACTTTTGCATTACCAGTAGGACAAAAAAAATAATGAGTTATGTCTATGACATTAACTATAACTACTAAAACTATAACTAATTATTATACCTGACTTTTGCGGGATCAATAAAAGTAAATATGAATATGTAACTTTTTTGGGGACAAATCCTTAAATATTGGCGTTTCATTTACATTCTCGCACTGTTAAGACCTGTGAAAATCTTAAATATTTTTGCAAGGTAGTTGTCAAATCTTGCGTTAAGTAGTGGTCAGTTTTATCGAAATACAGTAACTATAGCTAAACGTAGTCATTCGAAAAACCTAAATAAGAGAAACCGTAACCTCCATCTTTTAACTTTAGCAAAATGTCAACTTTTCGATTTTGTGAAATTTGTTTAAAAAATATGTTCGATTTTGGCTTTTCAAACCAAAATCAACCAACGTCTTTATCGATTAAAAGTCTTATGTGCAGCTTTGCCAATATTTAATTAATTAAATCTTTAATATGTCCGTCAATAAATGGAGAGTCCATACTAAAACACGATCATCGCTGCATGTTTTTGTTATACCCTACACCATAGTATGGAAGGTATGTTAAGTTTGCCCTTTCGTTTGTAACACTTCGAAATATACATTTTAGAAATTCTTGATCTGCATAAAAATCTATGTCGATTTAGAGATGTCCGTCCATCTGTCCGTATGTGGAAATCACTCTAGCATCCGAACGAAATGAAGTAAGTCGATAAAATTTTACTCAAATTTATATTATGTCTGCCTTGTAGATCCATGTTTTGTTATAGCCCCGACATAACGATACCTCCCGATATTCGGTATATTGGTGATTTAAATGCTTCAAATTTGGTATTTGAAGTTCGTTATGAATACTACAGTCTGAGACAGAAAATTGTCTGTGCAAGTTCGCGTCTTCGTATAGCCCCGATATAACGGTACCTGCCGATATTCAGTATTTTGATTATTTTAGCGACATTATTCACCGGAATTATTTCAAATTTTCCATTTGAAGTTCATAATGGATAGTACAGCCTATGATAGAAAATTGTCTGTGCAGGTCCGATTCTTCGTATAGCCCTCTAATAACGGTACCTCCCGATATTCGGTATTTTGACGATTTTAGCGACATTATGCACTGGAATTGTTTCAAATTTAATGGATGATGGATACTACAGCCTATGACAGAAAATTGTCTGTGCAGGTCCACGTTTTGGTATAACCCTCATGTAATGGTACCTCCCTATATTCGGTATTTTGCTGATATTATTAACCGATTTTAAGTTTCGCATTTGAATATTGTAATGGCTTATAACAAAAGTTGCCTATGCAGGTCCACGTCGTTGTATAGACCCCAATATAACGGCTACATTCTGTATTTTTAAGATTTTAACAGAATTTTTAACGGATTTTATTTTTTGAAAATTGCCAAACTCGTTCCAAATGGTGAAGGGTATTCAAAGATCGGCCCGGCCGAACTTACAGCTTTTTTACTTGTTTTAAAGTCGAAAGTGTCATTTATATCAAAATCGATTAATCGAAGTTCACAAACTAAGACTCTTACCACAATTCAGACCAAAAGAAAATACTAATTACAAATAGGGTTAGCAAGGCACGGGAAATCTATAGTTGCTTTTGATCACTAAAGGTCGATTAATGCTCTGTTCCAGAACCTGCAAGAATCTACTAGTTTTGCAATTTATTTCAACAGCAAAAAGGAAAAAATCGGTTATCGTATAGAGCACTGATTTATCGAATTTTAGTGGCCAGAAAAAAGACTACTAATTTCGTGCGATTTATCCTTGTCAATGTTATCTGTGTAATACAATTTGAAATGAGTATTTTTGCTATGCAAATACGGAATAGGTACATCTGGAAGGAGGTACATCCATAAAATGGGAAATCCGTACTCTTCTTGCAGTATTATATACGACAACGAATTTTACCATGATCAAAATATAAATGTATATTTAATGAAGTCTTCAACGCATATTTCGTTTCTGTTTTTAAAAAAGGAATGACTACATAAAGTCTACTCTCAAGTCTAAGATTGAAAACGGTCTATTTATATTTAGTGTCAGTAGGCACTTGTTCGTACCCGTCGGGACACTTAATGACCAAGGTGTTAAGATCTCGACGATGTGATCATCACCGTCGTCTCCTCTATGCATGTTTGCTCATACACATGTAGGTACGTCAATATGAATACATACGTACAATTCTTGACAGGGGTACGGAATTTTTGCCTCTCTAATGCTGATTGTTGGGCCAAGCAAAGTTAGCGATAAGAGCTACGCTTAAACAGTTTAACGGGAATAAATTTTAAAAATAAAACTATCGGATTTTCCCATAGATTTGGTTTGGTTTGATTTAATTTTTATTTTAGTTTATTTTTTCCCCTTAAGTGAGAGAGGCCCTTGATGTGTTTTTATTTTATTTGTTGTTTTCCTCTGCCTATCACAAATAATTAAATTCCGTTATGCGAATATGTATTTGGACTTGTGGTACATATATATCGGTATTATTTCAAATGTATGCAATTTGTTGAGGTTCACAGTGATCTGTCACCCCTCATTCCCTCTTGATTTGTACTTGTTTTTTCTTCGTTTCTTAATATTTCGAATAATCCAGAGCCGACGAAATTCACAAAATTTGAATACACAACACGCACACGGACACACACTCTCTATTCTGCCATCGCCATAAATAATAACAAAATAATCGTGCAAATAATAATGCAAGACGACACACTCGCACACCCACTAAACGAAAGAAAAAATGTCGTTTGGTCGAGACGTGCTGGCGAGGGCGGGCGGTCAATTATTATCGGGAGGGCAAATGTGTACATATGTACGCGCTATATTGCTTCACATGAGTGAGGAGGAGTACGTTACGCACAATGAACCCGACGATATTGAGTATGCCGCTTTCTACAACGATTACCACGAACGTTAAACAATGACTAACAACATTGGCCCAATGTGGGTAACAGCGACTGTGACAGATGTCAAACTGAGTCCATGGCTCCACATTTAACTGGTATAAAGAGGCGATCATTTCTCTCTGACTGTCTTGTTGCTCGAGACGGCGCGAGTGCAAATTTCTCTCTACACACATTCATTTAACTCTCCAAAAGCGATTGGCTACGGTCTACAATTGTTTTTGTTTTGGGGGTTTCCATTTTCTATAGCTGGTTGTAAACATCGGCGCCAAGCGAGAATGCGGGTAAGCTGGCGGTTCTCTTTTTGCCAAATAGTCGAATTGATTGGATGCAGAGGTTCCCAAACTAGTTGAACTAGTTATATTGAGTACAGCCAAAAGTGAGCTTCGAATCTAGGTTATTATTTCGGCCAAATTGGGCTGGATGAAATGTCTTTATACTTTTATTAACCTACACTCCAATATCTCAGAATAGAGCTTAGAATTGTACCTAAGGTAGTTTAGTAGGATCGGTTATATTTTAAGGCAAAATAAATAAATAGTAGTAAAACAAGTAAAAACCAGTAAAGAAAGTCCTAATGTCGGGCGGGGCCGACTTTATGATACCCTACACCACTTTGCTAATTTATTAGAGCTCCACATAACAATTAAAAGTTTTTATGGGAGAATTCAATCATACAAGCTATGATTATAATTATAATTAAAAGTTCAAAGGACTAAATATGCCGAAGCATTTGTATCTTTTAAATTGTATTACCCATTTGGTGCAAAATTAATTTGAAATCAGATATCCAAATCTGAACCGATCTCGATAAAATTTGGCAAAGATATTTCTGAGTTGTATTTGATATATTTCCCTGAATATCGTTGTTACGGAGTGCATATTACGGCTGTGGGTAACAAATCGGATGAACAATATATATGGGAGCCATAGCTATATCTTAACCGATCGAACCAAATTTGGTATTCTGCTTCTAGACTCAATTCGGTCTTATGTGCCAAATTTCATCACATTTGGGTAATAATTAAACGTTTGGTGCACAATGATAGGTAAATCGGACGAAGTTATATATGGAAGCTATATCCAAATCTGAACCGATCTCGATAAAATTTTGCAAAGGTATTTCTGAGCTGCATTTGATATATTTCCCCAAATATTGTTGTTACAGAGAGCATATTACGGCTAGGGAGGACTAAATTAACAAATCGGATGAACAATATATATATGGGAGCTATAGCTATATCTGAACCGATTTCGATCAAATTTGGCATACTTATTTGCAGGCCTAATTTGGTTGTATGTGCAAAATTCCATAATATTCGGGCTGATATTACACGTTTGGTGCACAATAAAAGGCAAATCGGATGAAGATATATATGGGAGCTATATATAATTTTTTACCGATTATCTCCCTTTTCAATAGGGTTCGTCCTTGGGCCAAACAAATGATTTGTGCAAAATTTCATCTGCATCGGGCAATAAATGCGAACTGTACTTTGTTTACAAAAATACATGGACAGACGGACGAACGGACATGCATAGATCGACTCAAAATGTGATTCTATGCAGATCATCAAAAGGAACTATGGGTCCATCTCGTTTCTATGGATCTATCTCCTTTTGCCTGTTACAAACAAATGAACAAAGACATAATACCCTAAACACCTTGTGGTGTAGGGTATAAAAACAGTAGGTTCGGCCGGACTGAACTTTAAATATCCTCCGCCATTTGAAACGAATTTTGAAAATTCAGTTAAAATCTTAAGAATACAGAATATAGGGAGTTACTTTTATATTAGGGTCCATACGAAAACGTGTCTGTGCCAGCGTTCGAAAATAAACAGTACACAAACATAGTGTACTGTACCGGTACAGAATCACTAAAAATATTTAGTGGTAGTGTACCGGTACACTACCAGTAGGAAGGTTAATTTCGAAAATGGATCATGTCGGTCCACGTTTTCGTATAGTATTCGTATAATATTCGGTATTTGTATAATTTTAGCGACATTTTTGACAAGAATTGTTTTAAATTTCGTATTAAAAATTCGTAATAAATACGACAGCCTATGACAAAAGATTACTTCTGAAGGACCATGCCTTCGTATAGCCCCCATATAACGGTTTTCATTTGAGCTGTATTTTCCAACGGAGTTTTTTTTTTAATTTTTTAAGTTCCTTTAGAATGGTGGCGGGTATTAAAAGTTAGTTCCGTCCGTAGAGTTTTACTTGTTCTTGTATAAATTTGGTTCAGGTCTTCATAAATCAATTAAATTTGAAATCGCATTGTATGTAAGCGCGCCTTTACATATGTGATTTTAAATCCATTTGATTTGTGAAATTCTGAAACACACTAGTTGTTTGCATATGTTTTGAGATGATGATGATGGTTGATTTCCTGAAAAACCATTTTGTATATCGTTTGTACTGTGATTTCGAACGTGATTTGAAATAAATCTAGGTACGAGATAATTCAGTTTTATATTCCAAATAAGCAAATAAGCCATCATAATTTATGCCACAGCCCATTTACACCAAAAGTGGATTAAACATACACAACCAAAAGAAAAATCAAAAACAATGTGGCGAAAATGTCATTATACCCTCCACCTTGGAAGGAGGGTATATTATTAGATATTTGTTAGTGGACCCTAGTTCGTGTGGCGAAACATTGTATGCATAGGACCACGTTTTGATGTAGCCCCCATGGTACCATGTACCATGGTAGCCCCCATATAACGGTACCTCCCGATATTCGGTATTTTTTGATTTTTGCCACATTTCGTAGCGGATTTGTCTAAAAATTGGTTTTTGTTGGACATAATGGGTTCTAGCTTCGGTGGCGAAACATTGTATGTATAGGTCCATGTTTTTGTATAGCTCCATATAGCGGACCCGATATTCGATATTTGGATGATTTTTGGCACATTTTCCTACGAATATGTCTTAAAATTGGTATTAGTGGGTCATATGGGTTCTAATGTTTCCTTTACCCTAAGGTGGAGAGTATTAAAAGTTGGGCCCGGTCGAACTTAATGTTTTTTTTTTACTTGATTTTGGATTAATTTTAGTTTAAATCTCCACATGTACCAATACCATACAATACCAAAATGTAGCCTATAGGACGGCTGGGTTATGTGTCCCCATGTCACCGCTTTTGTCGACATTGTCAACACTTTGTCTGCAGGTTTATTTTTCTTCGAATAAGAAAACAATGACAGCTGATTAATTCTGCTTTTTCTATTATATTTTTCATTGTTGTAAAGCGTAAAATTATGGCGGCTGTGAAAAGAGATTATTTAAAAGTTTTTTTTTCCGAATTGAGAAATCAATTAATGTGAAACAGCGATGGAATTGTAAAACAAAAGCATACCCAAACCAAGTTGTAAATGACTTGTAAAAAACGATCAGTTTTATACAAAGAAAAAATAAATAAATTATAATAAATGATTTAGGAGGCAGTAGAAAAAGATTGTAGTGGAAGTCAAAATTCTAATTTTGTGGAGTCTGCTAATGATTTTGGGCAGTCTTTTGAAGATTTTTCAAATCCCAAATTTACCTTGCGAAAAAATTAAAAAATTTAGTATAATAAAACAGTACGTCAACGAAAAATAAAACAATACGTTCACGAAGATGCCGTCACAATAGGAAAGCAAGTTATGAAGATTTGTTTTTAATTTTTATACCCTCCACCATACATAGTATGGAGGGTATATTAAGTTCGTCATTCCGTTTGTAACTCATCGAAATAATCATTTTAGACCCAAAAAAAATACTAAGACGATTTAGCCCTGTCCGTCTGTCTTTTGTAATCACGCTACAATCAAAACGAATAAAGATAGGAAGCTAAAATTTTGCATAGCTGTCTTTTGTCTGCAGGCAGGTCAAGTTCGAAGATGAACTATATCGGTCCACGATATCGTATAGCCCCCATATAACGGTACCCCCAATATTCGGTATTTTGATGATTTTACCCACATTTTTGAATGGAATTGTCTGAAATTCCACACAAGGAGTTCCTTGTGGGTATTTTACCCCCTGCAAGATAATTGTCTATATAGGTTCACGATATCGTATAGCCCCCTTATAACGGTATCCCCGATATTCGGTATTTTGATGATTTTAGCCACAATTTTTAACAGAGTTGTCTGAAATTCTACACAAGGAGTTCTTTTGGAGCACTTTACCGCATGAAAGATAATTGTCTATATAGGTCCACGATATCCTATAGCCCCCATATAACGGTGCCCTCCGATTTTTTAACAGAATTTTTAATGAATTTCATTTTTTTGAAAATTTCCTAATTCGTTCCAAATGGAGGGTATTCAAAGTTCGTCCCGGCCGAACTTACTGATTTTTTACTTGTTAAATATATTTTCTATTTACATCTAGAAGTTACATCAACTTTCAGTGAAGCAGGGATTAAAACTTTGAGAATCGCTGTTCAGCGACAAACGAAAAAAATGCAGGCAGACAAGTGGGACCAAATGGAAATATGAAAATAGTCAAGATTAAGAGTTCTGAAAAGGGATACACACACTTAACCTTTTTAATTTTCATAAAATACGTTAAGATTTTCTTTATAAGATATACAAATGAATCAAATTTACAATTTTTTTTCTTGAAGTAACTTTACTGTGCAAGTAAGGTAGCTATGAAATTTAGTAAATAGTTCCAAAAAAATAAGCTCTGGTACCAGAGCATTTATATAGTTCACAAAGATTGCTGACTCGTTAGTTTCAATGTATTCAAGTAACCCTTAATAGACTTCTGTTTCACTAGTTCCAAAATATCCATATGCATCTGCTACTGCCACTAATACCTGCTACTAATACTTGCCGTACGCCCCCGTGTGTTTTACCACAAAAGTTGAATACATGAATTTATATGAATGTTAATTCCCCGAACGTAGCGTAGAAAAGTATTTAACTTCCCCACTATGATTAAATGTTTCATAAAACCGACTTTTGTATCTAATATATATTTCAAACTTAGTATTTTCATTTCCAAACATTCACCTTTTTTGCTATTATTCATTTTTATTTTGAACAAAAATAGGTTCTATTAATGTTGAATTTGT